TTAAAGTTTTATCACTGATGTCATCATTGCTTAGTTCATCTTAAGTTAATTTTAAGCCAGCCCGTAATGCTATGCATAGTATAAGTGGCTTTGGCATGCTGCTCTTATCTGTATTTTTTGTACCTCTGTATGTGTGCTCAAATTTTTAAATAAATAAATAAATAAATAAATAAATGATGCCGGATTTGTGATGGAGGACCTGTAGTGCAAATGTGACATTAAAACAATATCGAAGATGGTTGACACAAACCCACTACCATTATAGTATGCTCCTCACATAGTGATGAATTCGTTTACCGGCATGGTCTTAGGAACACAACTTTGTTGTTAAGTGAGTAGAGGCTGTATATATATTTTTAACACCTCGCTTGTGTCCCACCGAGGCAGTGACCTAAAAAGAAAGAAAAACCCAAAGAGAAAGAAAAAAAAACTCATCATCATTCAACACTTCCACCATCGTTCATACATAATCACTGTCTCTGCAGAGGTGTTCAGATACAACAGTTTATATGTCACTCCAAACAGCCAATATCTCAAACTCCTCCTTTAAAGTGAAGGCACTGTACTTCCCACCTCCAGGACTCTAAGTCTGGCTGACTGGTTTCCCTGAATCCCTTCACAAAATATTACCCTGCTCACACTCCAACAGATTGTGAGGTCCCAAAAACCATTCGTCTCCATTCACTCCTAACATGCTCACACATACACACATGCATGCAAACACACATTTACATACTTTATTTTTTCCAACTCTGATATCAGTAGTAAAATTGAATACAGTAGGGCCCCACTTATACTGCAGGGTAGGTTCCAGGCTACTGGCATAAAGTGGAACACCCTTTTTTTTTCTACTTATCTAGTATTTATATGCATTTATAAGTTTACACTAACATATACAGTGGTACCTCGAGTTTCGAACAGCTCCCAACTTGAACAGTTATGTAAGTGTATTATTGTAAGTGCTCTTGTAAGTGTATTTTTGTTTACTTTTGAACTTTGGTAAAAATTGAACATTTCTGCTACTTTGAGCTCAATTTCAAGGTACTTTTCATTGTAAAACCAGTCAAAATCATCTAAATTTCTGTAATATGTCTTCCATTCTATAAAATGAGACAAAGAAAACTAGAATACAACCATAAATACCATACAAAAATACAGTGCAAAGTCGCTGTTTTATTCCAAAAAAATGGTCAAAGTTTTTTTTTTCTCATTATGCACTGTGTGCTGCAGGATTTTTTTTATACTGTGCACACTGACCGTATAGACCCATTCTTTCATATGTAGGCCTACCAGCTTTCTCCACTAGATTTGGGGCGCTAGAATTTAGGCGTACTAGTACTTAAAAACCCCTGGGCCGTAAGCCATACTAGTACGGCCGAAACCCCCAAAGGGTTAAGGGGAGTCATGTAATGCTTTCCCTCCTCCCGGCTACCACACCTCCTTGTCATATAAACATAAAATGTTTATATGCTATGTAACGTGTTTCTTATATAATTTTGAAGAAAATATCATGGAAAAATGAAAATGTCTATTCTTTTTCTTTCAACGTACCAGCCGTATCCCACCGAGGTGGGGTGGCCCAAAAGGAAAAAACGAAAGTTTCTCCTTTCAAATTTAGTAATATATGCAGGAGCCCCTTGCTCCCGGCATTTTAGTTGCCTCTTACAACACGCATGGCTTAGGAGGAAGAATTCTGTTCCACTTCCCCATGGAGATAAGAGGAAATAAACAAGAACTAGCTAGAAAATAGAAGAAAACCCAGAGGGGTATGTATATACTACAGTGGACCCCCGGTATTCGATATTAATCCGTTCCTGAGAGCTCATCGAATACCGAAAATATCGAAAAGCGAATCAATTTTCCCCATTAGAAATAATGGAAATCAAATTAATCCGTGCAAGACACCCAAAAGTATGAAAAAAAAATATTTTACCACATGAAATATTAAGTTTAATGCAATAAAATAATTACAATAACAACAATAACAGTAGAATAATTGACACTTACCTTTAATGAAGATCTGGTGATGATTGATGGGATGGGAGGAGGGGAGTGTGTAGATGGTGTTAGTGTTTAGAAGGGGAATCCCCTTCCATTAGGACTTGAGGTAGCAAGTCCTTTTCCGGGGTTACTTCCCTTCTTCTTTTAATGCCACTAGGACCAGCTTGAGAGTCACCGGACCTCTGTCGCACAACAAATCTGTCCATAGAGCTCTGTACCTCCCGTTCCTTTACGATTTGTCTAAAATGGGCTACAACATTCCAATTGTAATAGTCACCAGCACGGCTTGCAGTAGCTGTGTTAGGGTGATTTTCATCCATAAAGGTTTGCAGTTCAACCCACTGTGCACACATTTCCTTAATTTTTGAAGTAGGCACAATGGATTCCACAACTGGCATAGGCTTCTTAGGGTTAGCCCCAAACCCTTCAAAATCTTTCTTAATTTCCATACTAATTCTCACCCTTTTTACCACAGGGTTGGCACTAGAAGCTTTCTTGGGGCCCATGGTGACTTATTTTGCAGAAACAAGCACCAAAAACAATGATATGGAATGTACCGAATGTATCCTTAGATACGCGCACACTGGCTGGCTTGTAAACACTGGCACACATGGGGCAGTTCACGCCACACATGGACACGTCTCGTACGAATCGTATCGAATACAGGGTTTTCGATCGGATACCGAGGCGAAAATTTTGCGTTAAAATGCATCGAATACCGGATTTATCGAATACCGATGCCATCGAATGCCGAGGGTCCACTGTATATGCTTGTACATGTATGTGTAGTGTGACCTAAGTGTAAGTAGAAGTAGCAAGATGTACTTGAAATCTTGCATGTTTATGAGACAGAAAAAAGACACCAGCAATCCTACCAACTTGTAAAACAATTACAGGTTTCCATTTTACACTTGCTTGGCAGGACGGTAGTACCTCCCTGGGCGGTTGCTGTCTACCGACCTACTGCCTAGGGAAAATGTCTATATTAACATAAGACATTTAATGTGCCCAAGAGTGATTTATTATTAGTATTACATAATGTTTTCCCTCCGTTCGGCAACCACTGCTTCATAGCATATATAAACAGCATGTTTATATGCTATGTAACGTGTTTCTTATATAATTTTGAAGAAAATATCATAGATGGATTAATGAAAATGTCTATATTGATGTAAAATTAGACATTTAATGTGCCCAAGAGTAATTATTATTACTTAATAGAGAGATGTGCTCATGGAGAATGTAAACAAACCAGGTGGCGTGCGCCGTATTTAAAAGACCTCTTGCCATGTAGAAAGTTTTGGTCATAATTTGAGACCGCCGTATTAATGGAACGCCCAAGGTGAAACACCGAAAATTGGGGCCCTACTGTATATTTGTTTGTATAGATGTTTATGTATATTGTGAATAGTTGAGGAGATGTCCTCTGTACCAAAATTTCATGTTATATATCACTGATGTTAGATGGAAGTTCAGCATGGTAACTGGGTTCCCCATTAGTGCCGTACAGTACTTGCAACTTCTACATGGAGCCCCTTCAGGCAGGACACTTTTCTGGCATCATCCCATCAACTATCACCTGGCTATTCTAGGTGGACAGCATGCTCATTATTACACCTGGAAAATTCAACCTTGAAATCTCAGGAACCATCTTTACTATGTTGTACCTTCTATACAATTTACTCTTGAAAAAGACAACACACTTTCCTATCTAGATGATATTCTATTTAAGATTGATCAACAACTGAAATTTAATGTTTACCATGAAAACACTAATAAAAATGATGCTCATTTCTTCCATTATGGCAGTCAAAACAATGGGTCTTTATAGGCACCTTTTTGAGAGTTGTATGAGTATACAGCCTCAAATTTTTAAAATTTATTTGACACTATTAGTATCATTTTTGCACTACAATTTCTGTTGCAATTCATCAAAAACTGCAGGCAGAGGATCCCAAAATTCTTTTTTATTTGCAAAAAAGACAATATTTGAGTCAGGCTCATGTTTCCAACAGGCAACACTGCAGATCTACTCGCCAAAACACTGAAGAGAAACGATACAAAGCTGTTATCACATCAAAACCCCATCATGATATTACTAGACTTAACACACAAACCAAATAGCAGTATTTCTAGTGTATGCACCATTCCATGTGCAGGCTGTGATGAACATAGCATAGGAGAAGCACAGAGCTTTGGCACCAGAATTTGGTAATACAAGTGCACTTGCAGCATTTAACACAGTGTACATTATTCATTGAAACAAAACATTTTATGGCTTGGAAAATGCCACACCTATTATTAAAGAATCAGTGATCATTGACACTGCAGATCCTATTGAACAGAACTAGTGTGCATATTATTTTAAGTGGGAAACACCCAACCCATAATCAAACAACTGTTTTATCCTAAGTAATGGACTAGGAAGCCAAATGTAGTGCTTGTCTGCTTGCATCATCAGCACCTGACATAAGATTCTTACCTCATTCTCCATGAGTATTGTACATTTATTTGTAAAAAGTATCCTCTGCATAGCTTGATAAAGCTCATCGTGAGGTTGTACCAGTTTCAAGGGCCATCTGAACTGCAATGTCAGCATGCTTTTGGCAAGAGAGTGATTGAATGAATAATGGAGAAGGCATTTTCTCCAGATGGGGCACAGTAACTGTATTAGAAAGATGGGGGGGGGGGCTGTATAGCGAGTTTTTGGTTATAAATTTAAATGTCCGTATTAGCGGAATGCCATAAAGCAAAATGCCATAAAGCAGGGCCCTGCTGTATAGTATTTACACTCTTAAAGGATATGTGCAACTCAGATGGTCATTTAAATTGTCATATCCATGCACTTCTGACTATTGAATAAGTGATGGTGAATGCATTCCTTCTTTAGGTTGCCCTGTCTTGATGGTAGACAACCAGTGTATTTAAAAAGTCATATTACTTACATGATATACAAATGAAAACACTTGTACTTTATTTATAAAATGTGATATTTCCAGTTTGAGGGCCTGGACACTGATTCTGCCTATATGCCTTATGGTGCAAGTATTCCAATTGAAAAGGCATTAGACCCTCATGGAGATGTTATTTTAGCATATGAGATGAACGGAAAGCCCCTTTCTCGGGATCATGGATATCCACTCCGAGTTATTGTACCAGGAGTAGTTGCTTCTAGAAGTGTCAAGTGGCTTGGTAAGTTTATCTTCACACATAATATGGATATCTTTGCTTGAAAATAAAATTCTGTTTAAAATTTATATATTTATATATTTTATGGGAGTTGACACTTTCTGCTACTGTGCTTGTGGGAGATTCTAAAGAGAAGTTGCAAAGGTTAGTGGATGAGTTTAGGAGGGTGTGTAAAGGAAGAAAGTTGAAAGTGAACATAGATAAAAGTAAGGTGATGAGGGTATCAAACAAGTTAGGTAAAGAAAAATTGGATATTACATTGCAGGGAGGGAGTATGGAAGAAGTGAATGTGTTCAGATATTTGGGAGTAAACTTATTAGCAGATGGTTTTGATGGGCGAGGTTAACCACAGTTGATGAAGAAAAAAAGGTAAGTGGTGATTTGAGATATCTGTGGAGACAAAAAACGTTATCCATGGAGGCAAAGAAGGGAACGTTCGAGAGTATAGTGGCACCAACATTCTCATGTGGGTGTGAAGCATGGGTTGTAAATGCTGCACAAGGACAAGGCTGGAGGCAGTGGAGATGTCATGTCTAAGGGCAATATGTGGGATAAATATTATGCAGAGAATTCATAGTGTGGAAATTAGGAGGTGTGGAGTTACTAAAAGTATTCAGAGGGCTGAAGAAGGGTTGTTAAGGTGGTTTGGTCATTTAGAGAAGGTGGATCAAAATAGATTGACTTGGAGGGTGTATAAATCTGTAGTGGAGGGAAGGAGGGGCAGGGGTCATCCTAAGAAAGGATGGAGGGAGGGGATAAAGGAGGTTTTGCGTGCGAGGGGCTTGGACTTCCAACAAGCATGCGTGAGTGTGTTAGATAGGAATGAATGGAGACAAATAGTTTTTAGGACTTGATGTGCTGTTGGAGTATGAGCAAGGTAACATTTATGAAGGGATTCAGGGAAACCAGCAGGCCAGACTTCAGTTTTGGAGATGGGAAATATAGTGCCTGCACTCTGAATGAGGGATGTTATTGTTGCAGTTTTATAACTGTAGTGTAAGTGCACCTCTGGCAAGACAATGATGTAGTGAATGATGAAAGTTTTTCTTTTTCAGGTCTTCTTGCTTTGGTGGGAGATGGCTGATGTGTTAATAAAATAAATATTGTCTGTTATACATAGCAGTACTATGTAACCCTTACGAGTTTAGTGCTTAAATTTATTGTAATAATATGTTCACATTCACCTTGTGTTTACTGTGTTTATTTAATCATTTTACTTGGAACACAGTTCATGTGCATTAACAGTGGCAGTAATATCCTCTATGCCATGGAAAAAAAAACTGATGATTTTAAATTAATCTTGGCATAATAAAGTTTAGTTTGGCTTTGCCTGTGTAAATGGCATAAATTTATCTACCATTGCAACAATTATAATTAAGGCCTTAGTATGTATCATAGAACACATTAAAAGCTATGTACCACTGTAATCAGTTATCATTTCCAAGAGGCAAACTGGTTTGATGATTGAAATGAAAAAATTCTGATACAATTTGTAGGTGGCTAATGTCAGAAAAGAATGTCTCAGCCTTGTACATATACATGTGCAGGAAAACAGTTCAAAATTATGATGGCCTGAAACAATTATGAGACAGCACTATTGAGGCTCCAGCATTTACTAAGTCATGGGTGGTTTCATATGGTAAAGGGCAGAGGAAATTTACAAAGTGTTAATATGACTAGAGCAGCTTCTGTTATGCTGAAGAGTGGCTAACAAGTTTGCAAAAATGTTTTGCCTTCATTAAAGGTGAAAGTGATTTAATAGGAACATTTACTAATCAAAATCTGTCTGTTTACTAGTTAATTTATTTTTCTCCAAGTGTTTCATCCACTTTTCTCTAATTTTTTTTCTGGTAAATTCTCACCAATGCTCGTCAGTGAGAGGCCTTTAATTTTGTTTGCTTTTTTAATGTTGTCACATGGTGTACCAATTTACCCTCTTGTAGTGAAATCTCAAGGATGTTAGCAGAGGATAGCTTAGTTTGTCTTTACTTTAAGACCCATAGTGCTATCCCATCTGGTTCTGTTACCTTTGTTTCAATATCCATTAGTTAAATTTTGATCATTTCAGAATATTGCAAGAGTCAGGCCAATGTTATCTACATTTTTTTTTTTATTATTAAAATAATGAAGTATACTACACGTGTCAAGCAGCCATATAAATAATGCATTTGTTCAAGAAAAAGGAAAAAAATAAAATTCATAATTCAATCTTAACCCTTTGACTGTCGCGGCCGTATATATACGTCTTACGAGGTACCGTGTTTGACGTATATATACTCATAAATTCTAGCGGCTTCAAATCAACCAGGAGAAAGCTGGTAGGCCCACATGTGAGAGAATGGGTCTGTGTGGTCAGTGTGCACCATATAAAAAAAATCCTGGAGCACGCAGTGCATAATGAGAAAAAAAAAACTCCGACCGTTTTTTTTTAATTAAAATGCTGACTTTGTGGTCTATTTTTGTATAGTATTTATGGTTGTATTCTCGTTTTCTTGGTCTCATTTGATAGACTGGAAAACATATTATAGAAATAGAGGTGATTTTGAATGATTTTGCTATAAAAAGAACCTAGAAATGGAGCTCAAAGTAGGGGAAATGTTTGATTTTTGCCAATGTTCAAAAGTAAACAAATGATGCCATTGTCCAATAAATGTCCAACTAGCCATTCTAATATGCAGTCATGAATGGGTTGATGTTATTTATACAATTATTACAGTATTGCAGTAGTCTGCATAATAGTAAGTCTTCTATTTTTTGTTTGAATAAAAATTCAAAATAGAAAGCAAGAGTAATATCAGAGGGGCCTGGAGACATGACTGATGAGCAAAGAAAATGTTATTTTAGAGCCAGGAATGTCTGCATTGTTCATTCTGGACCTTATTTTGAAATTGTCATATTTTTTAGTTTTCGTGAAATTAGCCAAATTGCAAATTTCTGACCACATTATTAGGTAGTTGAAATCGGTAAATGGGCAGTTTCTTGTACTCAATCGATAGAAAAAATGGAGTTCTAAAGAAATAGCTATGAGTTTGGGTGATTGGGACAATGGAATTAGCCGAAAATAGGGCTGAAAGTGGGCGAAATCGCTGATTTGTAAACAGCGCCGAGGTCGCTAACTTCGCGAGAGCATAATTCCGTCAGTTTTCCATCAAATTTCGTTTTTTTGGTGTCATTACAATTGGGAAAAGATTCTCTATCATTTCATAAGAAATTTTTTTTTTGTTTGTTTTTTTAAATTTTGCGACACCAGGAGACACCTCAGGATTGGGGGTTGCGACAGTCAAAGGGTTAACCCGTTGGCCGCTTCGGTCGTATATATACATCTTATGAGCCAATGTTTTTGACGTATTAATACACTAAAATTCTAGCAGCTTCAAATCAAGCAGGAGAAAGCTGTTAGGCCCACATGTGATAGAATGGTCTCCATGGTCAGTGTGTGCAGTATAAAAAAAAATCGGGGAGCCAGTGGTGCACTGTGGGAATGCCATTTTAGTAGTCCTTATTCAGCATGCCTAGCAGTAAGAAATATCTGACTCCTTGGCAAATCTGGGCCTCTTCTCTTCCCAAGTGATAGATCTAACAGATGGAAATGTCAGTGAAGATGAATTTCATGGTTTTGAGGAGTTTGTGACCGAGAGCAATGCCCAGGATAACAAGAAAGAAAGAAAGAAAGAAAGGTAGGTAGGTAGGAAGGCTGGTGGGGAAGAAGGCATGGGATCTCATGGGTGTTGACAGGCAGTAAGGGTAGTGAGTGATGGTTTAATATGTCCTTTTGACAGCTGCCACACCCTGACTCAGCACATTTAGAATTTCCTTCCCACACACACTCTGTCTCTGTGTCTGTCTGTGTCTCTGTCTCTGTGTGTGTGTCTGTTTTTTTTTTTTTTTACACAGGGTTTGACAAGGTTAAGGATCCCTAGCTTTATTGACAAGCTATTTACAGGTTAAGGATTCCTAACTTTATTGGCAAGCTCATTTGAAAGCATTTTTATCATTATGAGACAAACAAGTAGGGAACAGGATGAAGTTGGAGCCATCTGTGGGCCAGCATTTTCATTTGATCAGCTGTCTTTATCTCATTGACATCATTATGCTGTACGAATGTGTTCCTTACTCGAGTCATCCTGGGTATGTATGATCTCAGATGGAGTGATGTTCTGGAGAAGGGTACAGCCAGAGTGAAGTTGCTGCTTTCTCGCCATCTTGTGGCATAAAAGCTTGTTTCACGCTGTCCTCGAAGTGGATCTAAGTGTGGTACTTTGACAATATTGGCCTTGTACATAACAGTAAGCCCACCCACATCCCTCCTGTGTTGAAGGCTCTGCTGAAATGGCAGATCTATCCAGGATGGGTCAAGGCGAGAGATGAGACGTCTTGCTCTGTTCTCTACTGTCAAGCAGTCGCAGATGAGAGGGGGGGCAGGCAAACCAAGAAAGTGGAGCATACTCCAAGGTGTGAGCGTACTTGTGCCTCGTACAGAATCTTGCAACCCCTACTGTCAAGCAGACGTGAGATACGGCGAAGTGCTGTAAGCTTCCTGGCTGCCTTGATTGCAAGATTTACAACATGGTTCTTCATGGTCAGTTTTGGAGTCAAATTTCACCCCAAGGATATCAACTTCTCCAGGTGCCAACACCCTCCCATTCATCCTTACTAAATGCACCAGCATTACCATCATGGTGCCTAGAGACGATCATTTGCATTTTCTCAGGTGCAAATGTTACTTGCCATCTATTTCCCAAGCTGATATAGCTCTTAGCTGGTGATTGATGTAGCTTAGAGCAGCTATCTCTCTGTCTTTCTCTCTGCCTCTCTGTCTCTCTCTGTCTCTGTCTCTCTCTGTCTGTCTCTGTCTCCTGTCTCTCTGTCTCTCTCTGTGTCTGTCTCTCTGTCTGTCTCTCTGTCTCTCTCTGTCTCTCTGTCTCTCTGTCTCTCTGTCTCTCTGTCCTCTCTGTCTCTGTCTCTGTCTCTCTGTCTCTCTGTCTCTCTCTGTCTCTCTCTCTGTCTCTCTCTGTCTCTCTCTGTCTCTCTCTGTCTCTCTCTGTCTCTCTCTGTCTCTCTCTGTCTCTCTCTCTCTCTCTCTCTCTCTCTCTCTCTCTCATCTCTCTCTCTCTCTCTCTCTTCTCTCTCTCTCTCTCTCTCTCTCTCTCAAAAACTTCCAGAAGATAATAGCAGTTCTATGAAAGTGTCCAGTGACTATATATGTGTATATATATTACAGAAACAGGAAGGTAGGTAGGTAGGAAGGGATGATGACACACGATCATTTACCTAGGGTAACTACCTAACACAGCTACCTGCTACTACTTTGAAGAAAACGCTCAGACAAGGGGTTTCATCTGCTCACATACAAAAAAAAAAAAAAAAAAAAAAACATTCGTTTTATTTTGTGAGGAATGTAAACACCCTTTTGTATGAAACCATTTTCAATTAAACCCAAACCTG